TCCTGAGCTTTTCCTGTATCAAGCCCTCCTTCGAAACTTTTTCCTATATAAGGCTCTCCCCCAGAGTTGATCCTGCAATAGACCCTCTACTGGAATTCTTCCAGCAGTAGGCCCTCCCCCGGAGCAAGTTCCTGTATCAAGCCCTCCTCCAAACTTTCTCCCACAGCAGACCCTTCTCCGGAATTTTTTCCTGTATCAGGCCCTCCCCCGGAGCTTTTTCTGGAACAGGTCCTCCTTTGGAATTCTTCCTGCTGCAACCTATCTTCGGAGCCTTTTCCTGATCTCTTGCATCAAGCACTCCTTCGAAATCTTTCCCTTCGGACCTTTTCTTTTTTTCTATAAGGCATAAATTGCAACATTTTTTGCAAGTTGTCTACTCCCCTGCAAACTCCCCTGCAACATTACATATAGGAGTCTTTCGTCTACCTATAGACACTACAAGAACTGTAGTCAAAGGCAGTTGCAGTTAATTAGAAGTCATCTTTTTCTGCAATGTAGTCAAAGGCAGTTGCAGTTAATTAGAAGTCATTTTTTCTGCAAGTTGTCTACTTCCCTGCAAACTCCCCTGCAACATTACTTGTATGAGTCTTCTGTCAACCTATAGACACTACAGAAACTGCAACCAAACTCCCCTGTAGCATTACCTGTAGGAGTCTTCCGGCTACTTACAGACACTGCAGGAACTGTAGTCAGACAACTGCAATTGTCAACTTCCCTGCAAATTCCCCTACAACATTATTCGTATGAGTCTTCCCCCTACCAACAAACATTACAGGAACTGCAGTCAAAGACAGTCGCAGTACAGGATGAAAACTTCAACTTCTGCCTCACAGTTTCTTCCTCGCCCATTGTTTGATGTTTTTAAATCCAAGTTGAACATGGTTTTCAACCATGTTTCAACTTAAAGGGAAGTGTTAGAAGTTATATTAAGAACTATATTTATTCTTGAATTTGAAGATATTTTTCCTTTCCTATTTTATATTTATTTCTTTAAATTGGATTTATTTCATTTCCTATTTTATGTTGTTTTCTTTATCTCCAAAATAATTAATGTGAATTGATTAATTGGAGATATTATGAGTTATAATTTTCCTTTCATATTATTTTCATTTTATTATCTTTCCTATTGTAGGATTCATGTAAGAGTGTGTATAACCTCTTTCATATCAATGAAAAAATTTTGCTTTATTCCGTATTATTATGAATTTCAACACATCCACTTTTTCATCCAAGGCTTAATTGCTCTTCAAGAAAATGCAACGCTTGATTGACCTCTGATTGTGACAATGGTTCAGAGATAATGAAAATAGTTAGTCAGATTTTATCGACGTCTTTCTCAACATCGATAGAATTTGTTTCACCAGAAATAGGACCGCAAGAGTTTTGATAAGAATCATATATTTCGCTAGTGACAGAAGGTCGAATATTGTTCGCAATGAACTCCACCATATCGTACCGCCAAATATCGTTGAATGTAATTTTCACTCTAGGAATTCCAGCGCATTTCTCCTATTCATACACGGGCTATATACAATTATCCACGATTATTCCGACGCCAGACCTTCAAATCCATCAAAACTTAAAGATTCATGATGAAATGGGTTTTCATCTTCTTCCTCAAGAATTTTGTTTTCTTGATCCACCTCATGTTCTTCCAGTTTTCGTTGTTCGAGTATAAATACTTTTTCTTGAAGAAACTGGATATCCCATTTTAAACCTTACATAACAAGTTTTTGATTGGGTCTTGCAAGATTTCTTCGTGGCAACATGTTGTTTCGTTAGAAAATCACACTTTGAAACAAGGATAACAGAAAGAACAGTAGCACTGCGGACAATCTAGATTGGAATTCTTGACAATTGCAGCAAACAGAAAATTCGGAACACTAGGAAATCTGGAATTGAGAACAAAAATCTGTGAACAAATATCTGAATTTGTTAGACAGCAAATGAAAGAAAGGCTAGGGAACCCAGGAAAGAAAGCAAGAATGTTGTCTTTGAAGGAAAGTTGAAGAGGAGAGGAATGAGAGGATGAAAGAGCAGCCAAGAGGAAAAATTGTAGAAAAAACTAGTCGTGAAGAACAAGAAGACAAAAAATTTCCTCTTTCAGAAAACTTAAATCGACTAAAAAGAAACATAAAGATAGAAGGATTGTCGATTCTAAGAAGCAACAAGATGACAGGTTTATCATCCCACCGAGAAAGCTGGAGGATCTTGGCAAGAGTTGGGACCAAGAAACCAAAGCTCTGAAACCAAAATGATACCAACATGGTATATGAGAGTAGAATTTCAGCAAAACTATCATCAAGAATTGTTGTGAGGATTTTTGGAAACAAAGAACAACAAAAGGAATATTTTTGATGTAAAGAAAGCACAAGAATACACATGGCAAGATATCACCTGGGCTGCCAACTCCAGGATACAGCTGCAAGTAAGATGAACGGGTAGCCCAACCATCCCAAAAGAAAGGGGCACATAATTATAAAACTAAAATCTGCTCCTATACACAAAACAGCGTCTATTTATAAGCACTAAAACTCCCCTTATTATAAATTTGTTATCCAAATTGAGAAATACATAAAAACGGAACTAAAGCATAAAAACGGACCTTAAACATAATGTGGACAGCACTAGAACTTATGCTCCCTTGTCAAATAGATACTAAGATAAGACAAGACATCTAAGGATTGAATGGCAAACTAAATACTCAAAAACTAAGTAGGTAATCTCATTTCTAAATTGAAGAATAATTTCTTTCTTCTAAATCTTATGCATTTAATTTAATTGTTTATGATATTTGGTTAGTAATCTAAATATTAGTCAACGTGGGGCAATCTCAACTAGTTATAGCAAATGGATTCACAGTGATTCATCTCTTCTCAATACAATATTCCTCATGCTGCAATGAATCGAATGTGTATGTTTCCATGTTGATGTTTCTATTAGTTAAGTAGATTCTAAATAGCATCATGCAATTTGCCTTGAAAATAGGCTAAATGTATGTTAACATTAACGCAATAAAAATAATTTAGAGAAACTTGTCCATGCATATTCGAAAATGCAGTCACCCTTTTAATAATTATATCAAGCAAAAGATCATTAGATAAATCGCATGACAACTTGTACTTTATGCTTTAATATAGTCATTAATCAAACATAACTGACTTTATGCTTGATGCTAATGACTAAATACAGCCCTGTTACTAAACCTAATTTACTAGGCATCATTTAAGTTAATATGAAGTAAGGGTGTAAACAAGTGGAGCTTGAGTAAGCTTTAGTGTTTTCAACTTGGTTCATTAAGCGAACGAACTAAATTTTTTTATTTATGTTTGGTTTGTAAATTTGGTTTATTTTGTTTTGTGCTTTGTTTTTTCTCTTTTTTCTTTTTTTTTCTTCCTTGAGGTTTAGCTTGTTAAATTACTAAGCCAAGTGTGAGCAGCTCATGAAGATAAATTTTACATATAAATAATAGAATTAACATGTTTTAAAGACAAACCATACATATAGAACAAACATAAGCATACCTAAACACATGCATTTATATGGATCATTTTATGTGTATATAAAACCAAATCTAGCTATTATGAGTTAAACGAGGTCTTGTTCTTATTTAGCATGTTAAACAGATCCGGTCAAAGTAATCAAAATCGAGCAACTTATCTAGCAAAACACAATTGAACACAACCTATGAGATTTGGAAAGCATGAGGTCAATGATACAATTATTAATAATAAAACATTTTAATATGTTGTTTAATCCTCTCATCATGCTTATACCCCTAATAATATAAATAAAATTTTAAGCGCATGAGAAATAGTAAAATTAATACAAGAATAAAGAATAATTCATCAAATAAATAATTAGTCCATTATTAAAATAATGTTTTGTGAAAGCTCTTAAAGAGTTATTTGTAAACGCTAAGCAATCATGTTCACAAAAATAAAGAAAAAAGTGGGTCAACTTTCATGTTAATTTATATGAAGAGCTTTTACATTTGTGCTCAAGCATGTTCAACCCGTTAAATAAATAAAAACAAACCAACCTTGCATAAATCAGTATCGAATTTTTTTCATTTAGGTTCATATTACAATTCTAACTTCAAGTGTAGGTTCATAAGTCTTTCATTTAGAATAATTTCTATCATGTTTTTGCTTTCATTAACATGGTTATTAATTTTCTTTGATTAATAGTTTGATCCCTGCAAATTTTTAATGCATATTCAATGGTTTCTCCATCTCAAGTAAATGCATTAGAAAACTATAAACTAAGATGTTTTACATCACACTAAGGTCATATTTATTTCTCGGATAAGATAAGATGTCATGTTGACCCCTAATAGAAAATCAATAAACATTTATCATGGATTGTTGCTTGCTTATTTGAGTCTTCTGGTTCCCAACAGAGAATATTACATACATCCAATGTTCCATGCAATAGTGATTTCCAGGAATCTAAGAGAACAAAACTTTCTCCCTGCTACTCGTAACATTAAAACTTGAAGGGTAATTTCACTGTATATTGATTTACTGTTGAAATCCACCAATACTTCAAAATAAATAATAACATTGTTCCTACTTCTCAGCCATCTTACTACATTCTGCATCCTCCTGACATAGATAAATGACAAAAAAGAAACATTGTCGTAGCATCTGACAAAGTTTCTACTAGTGCCTGTGGCGGTTTAGCATTAAAGGCATGGATAATAATAATATAAAAGATGATATCTTTAGTCCACGGCTTCCATTTTATCTTCATCTGTGCAACAGCAAAAGTACACCAACAAGCCCCGTTATTTAAATAAAATTTTACTTTAAAGCAGGTAGTAATAGCAAAATTCAATCATATAAAGCATATTAAGAGAATTGCCAGCATCTATAAGTAATAATCTATAAAAGTCATGTCACTGCACGACAGATTGGCTGCAGCTACCAAATGAATAAGATCCAGAAGCGTGGTAAAAATCAACAAAATAATAACTACTTTCAGAAGAGAGCTCAAACCTGTAAATAGTGATAAATATATCTGGCACTATGCCCACCATAGATCCACATATGTAAGGACAATATTGTACATTGGTAGCCACAGAAGCATAATTGAAAACAATGTAAGGGAAAGGAGAAACCCTTATCAGTGTAACAGCACGAAATTGGTGAAACCAATCTCCTTCCCCGGCTAATCTCAGAATGGCTGATTTATTTGGCCACCTCTCCAACCATTTCTGCATTTAACGAAATTTAAAGAAAAGGTAAAACATATTCATATCTAAGGTACAAAATTATTTTCATTAAAAGGAATCATAAGAATTTAGAAGAATGAACTGACATGAATTTTGTGACGAAATGAAGAACCTATAAAATATGGCAGTGACATGCCTATACTTGCCCCTGCCAGAATAAGCAAAAATCCATAACCGTAGCCAAATGTCATCCCACCTACCCACATGGAAAATGAAGAAGGGATAAAAACTGCTGGGAACAACGCAATTGATGCAAAAAGTAAAAGCCCCAGAGTTGGTATACTGAATGTTGATATCTCCCAGTCCAGAATAGGCACAACTACCTGACAATATCATCTTCAAAACATGAGAAAGTCGCGTAAAAAGGACAATAAAACTACTAAAAGAACAAAAACACCAATTTTTTTACCTCAAACTCACAAGGAAAATTGCTTCTAGGATTTGAATTAGTATCATATTCAACAATCTTGAATTCGATTGACGGTGCCGTGTGGCAGTCATATTTATCTTGCATGCCTAGGCAGTAGGTCTAAGAACTAACATTGCTTAACCATGCTCAGACAATAGGTCAACTTCAACATCAGCATTATCCAAACATGTAGGTCTGTCTCAGGACCCCACCTTTTCATTTCTACCAGGTTTTACATTAGGCGTTAATTTTCGTTTTTGCTAATATTTCTGCATAACTTTTTTTTTTAAACCCATTTTCTTTCATACTCCTAAGCACATTAAAGTCTATCTACCTGCTTTATTAGTAAATATTTATGTCACACATCACACATGTAGTTTCCACAACATTATCATTAATATGACCTAGAATACATGTACATCTAAGCAATATAAGGCCTAAGAACTAACATGTCTATGCCAAGGTCAAAAAAGGATCAACACTCCACCAAAAAAAAGACGATAAATATTTTGAATTGGAAATATTTATTTGTCATCCGCATCATCAGCATAATCCCAACCATTTAGGTATATGCTAAGAAACCCGCCTTTTTCATTTCTACTGAGTATTCTATGAAAGATTAATTGTAGACTTTCCAAATAATTCTACAAGTTCTGGCCAAATCATTATTTTTTTTCTACCCATTTTCTTTCAAACTTCTAACACACTAATTCTAACCCAATTTTTGTTCTTCTGCGTATATGGTAAAAATATGTAATCCTATTTTTCCACTATTTATCATCAAAATGAACTATTTCCACTACATCTCTCTTAGTTCACCAAACATTCATCTTAATATTATCATTTCTGTCACTCTGCTTGACTACCAATGATTTATTTGCTGTACAGCACTCAGATCATATAACATAGTCATTTTAAATTTGGTTTCACAATTTTCACTTTATCCATGACTCACTTATAACATAGCTCTCATGAAACACATCTCCATTTTAACAACCCATCTCTTACTCACATAGTCAAATACCCATCTATAACCCATTATTTTGTAAAATTGGTAGAAGAATCCTAAACAACCACACATGGTTATCACATTTTGTAGTGAAATTGATCAATGATAATCAAGTTCATATCTATATCAAGTTTTCAACTATCAATACAAAGACTCTTAGAATATAAAAAAAAAGTCTTCCATGTTCTAATTTTCTCTTACTTAACAACTCTTATTTAGGAATAAATGTGAGAGTGATACATAACATGAAGATAATATCTAAATAATAAGCATATTTATGCTTAATAAAATAATAAGCTTAGAGCATTAAACAACATAACATAAGAATAGATTTATGTACAAAGATAATTATTATGTACTTAATATATCAAACAATCATGTATCTGAATATTACACATTATTGTTATTCTATTAAAAATCCTTGAAGAGACTAAGCATAATTTATTCTTAAATGGAAAAGCAATCCCAACCCCTCCATGCAAGGCCTGTCATGCCGTCCAATATACGGGTATTGTGCTTGAATCCGCATTTTGCGGCGACAGGGAATTGCACCTAAGGGGTGCAAAAGATAACAAAAATTTTAAGAAGATGTGCTTTATGGAATCCAACCAATCAAACACACACACACACACACAAACCAAAAATTCATAAAAAAACACCCATACCCACCCATCTTTATTGTGTTTGAACCGTGTACTCATGATTCATTTTTTCTTAAAATACCTGAGTTTTCTCCCCTAAAATAATAATAAAATAATTAAAAAGCACACCAACCAACCAACCTTGTAATTGAGATAAATGATCATAGAGAAATTTATTTGCAAAAAAAAATGTCCAATTGCGGCGCACTTGATAAAGCTAAGAGTATAAATTTCAATGGTTTTGTTCATGAAGATCTTGTATGACGATCTAAAACTCAAGCTAGCATCCAGTAAACTATCAAAATGGCATGCCCTCAATAAACCAAAAACAAAGTACGTTGAATGATACTGTTGTCAATACACATTTAAATAAATGTGCTGAACAAAATAACTTCAAGTTCGACTCATCACAATGTCATCACTATCACAAACTCCATAATAATACCGAAAATTCCACATCTAGTGCTCATGCTTCCTAAAGAACTACGATATAAACAGCAAAAACGCCAATAAAAAAATGAGACGTACCTTTTTTATGACCAAAGGGCCAGCGAAGATAACAAGAACTGCCGCAGCAGCTCCCAAAACAATGCAAAGGAAAACAACCTTCGTCCACCATAGCAGGGAAACCCACTTTCCATTACTCAATGGTAACTGCGCTTCCAATTCCTCATCATAGCTCATCGGCAACCTCACAAAATCCCCATTCGCATCTCCCATCCCCCCCTTCGAGTCCACGGCCAACATATCATCAATGGAATCTGCCCAATCAGTCAACAGCCCCAAAAGGGGAAGACTAGCTTCAATCGGAGATCTCTCAGTCAAATCAATCAATAAGAGATATTCAGAAAAGAATTGAACCCCCTAAACGTCGTTTTCCCTTCCCCGTTTCCTTCACCGTAATTCTCCGCCAAAAGAACGAAACCCTAGATCTCAAAGCTCAGCAGCTTCCGACCAGGAGGAAGGCTGTCACAGAAGCACCAACATTAAGCTCCAGTACGGGCAATGAAACCGTTGCAGCGTTGAGTTTATGGAAAGTGGGAGGGAAAGGAAGAGGGATAGAGAGAGAACGACAATGGCGAGTTCCGCTGAGGCAGAGGAAAGCTTAGATAGACGCGTACATGTATAACTTAATTAGACTCATCAGAGACCGTATCAAGAAACCCAACAATGCTGTTGAGAAAGAAGTTGGTCCCAATGTCTGGTCAGACTTTTTCGGTGGGTACTAAAAACAATATTGCTTTTCTCTTTCCTTGGAAGATTTATATACATACCATTTAATTTGTAAGTATTTAGGTATATAAACTTCAATCTACATATATATATATATATATATATTGA